TTTTGTAGTGTTTAGTCTATAAAGGAGCTAATGTTTGAGGCTGTCTTGACCAGGAGCTTTGGCCAGGCTATGGCCTGCATCATGGCTCCACGTGAGGACACAGAAAAGTGCTGATGGAAAAGCAGCCAGAGGACTCAGCCCCAGCCATGAAGCTCTGGGCCTGACCTTTAGGTCAGCTTTATGCAGTTTCCAGAACCCTCTTCCATCCTTAGCTCTACTTCTCCAGTCATTGGCTACGTTTCCAAAAATGTGGGTGCCATCTCCCTCTGAGTTTTCTGGAAAGCCAGTGAAAATGCAAAACCCTGGCCAGCCTACTGACTGGTAACTGGCCTGACTCAAGAACTACTGAATCAAAACATTCAGAAGCAGTACCCAAGAACGCGTATTTTAAGAATTTCCACACTGCCCGCAGGGGTCCTTGGACACAGAACCAGAAGGGTGACCTGTGCCATTGCCAGCTGGTGAGTAGGGGGTTGGAATAAATGAATTCTGGGACAGACAAGAGAACAGGGAGTGTAGCTTGAGACATTTAACCACCTTATCTAACCATCACTACCTCCTTGGGAGGTCAGTTATCATACTGTGAAAGGAAAATAAATCTCAGGAACCCCAAATCACTAAGCCAAAGGGAAAAAGTCAAGCTGGGAACTACTTAGGGCCAACCTGCCTCCTATTCTATTCCTTAAAAAGATGGCTAATAAGATAAAAAAGCTACATACCTCCCTCACAATTTGTCCACAAGGGATTTCCTTATGGACTAAGGACAGACAGAACTCAAAGCCATCCTTCTGCTCACTGAGATAAATGCGTATCTGGCTGCTTCCTTTGAAACAGCTAATCAGAAACTCAAAAGAATGCAACCATTTTTCGTTTATCCACCCATGACCTAGAAGCCCCCCCAATGCTTAAAGTTGTGCCACCTTTCCAGACCAAACCAATGTACATCTCACACATATTAATGTCTCATGTCTCCCTAAAATGCATAAAATTAAGCTGTGCCCCAATCATCTTAGGCACATGGCATTAGGACCTCCTGATGCTGTGTCACAGGTGCATCCTTGAGTTTGGCAAAATAAACTTCCTAAATTGACTGAGACTGTCTCAGATATTTAGGGTTCACCATACCTGTTTCATGGAGGTGATATGGAAGTTAAGAAGGAATCACTTAGGCAAATAGCCTTTTACCCTTGTAAAAGGCTTTTCTTTTTAATGAAAAGCAGCCCCAAATCATTTTCTAACGAAAAGCAGTCTGTAAAGTTAAGCTCCAAACAGACAAGCAAGCTGGGAGCTTGCATGAATGCTGGCAGGAACTAAAGACTAGACATTTTCAAGATGGCAGCTCCATCTTCCCTTCTCTGCCAGCCACGTATAAGGAGCAAACAAGATGGCGCTGATGAACTGGAAAGTCCATTTGCATAATAAGATTAAGGCGGGGTGACAAGCCTTCTGTGCGCACTATGTAAACGTCAGACCTGATCAAACCAATCTAAGAGCCCTATGTAAATCAGACACTGCCTCCTCAAACTGGACTCTAAAATTCACACATTTGTTGCCAGCCGGACTTTTCCACTCGGAGACTCCTTCCTCTAAAGAGGAAACTGTTTCTCTTTCTCTCCTCTTCTACCTATTAAACCTCCGCTCCTAAATTCCTCATGTGTGTCCATGTCCTAAATCTTCTTGGCTACAACAATGAACCCCAGGGCATGTATCCCAGACAACATCACCACTTCAGAGGTGGACCCTGAGGCTCAGACAGAAAGTATCCTGGTCTGCCTGACTTTATGTCAGGAGCTTTTTGCTTGCACCCCAGGGAAACCCACTCAATGAAACACCTTGTATTTTATTCTCAGTCTTCACACAAGGTCATTTTAGGCTAGCGAGCTCCCTGCTGAAGGTCGCATGCTGAAATGAAATTGAAAGCAAAGAAAAACTAAATGAGCAGCCCTCCACCTGGAAAATCCAGGTGGCATCAGTGGAAGAGCCAAGACCTGGGAGGTTTTCATGTCTATTTTTAAGCAATTGAACTAAATTAAATGTCTCTTTTGCAGCCAGGCTAAATGTTGTTTGCAAGTTTGGAGCTTTGTTTGTATGTATATATTTTAAATAAATTTGATAATTAAGTCACAAATGTTCTCAGCACACTTGGATATATTTAAATTACAGGCTTCTGATCAAATGGAGAAAAGTCACAAATAGGGGCCTAAATGATGCCCTTTTTTGTTCAGTGCCTTTTGCAGTATTCAAATGGGTCTGTCAGCTTAATTACCAATTCTAAGGCTGCTGGGAATGACAGGAGGTGAGGGGATTGGCAAAGAGACTACAGGAAGTAAAACCCTGTGGTGAAAAATTGCAGTTCTTTTAAGAAAACATTTCCTCTGAGCCTGTAATTCATTTCAACAAGCCAGTTTTGAAAGCACAAACAAGGTGGTAAAAGGGGTGTTTGTCTCTGCCCGACTGGCGGCACTCTATACAGGTATTGATCGACTTACCACCTATGCAACTTACGACCATTCGACTTTACGACCACAATCGCTAGCCACGACTGCTCCGCGTCTGGCAGCGCAAATGTTGCCCAGTTGGGCATACTACAGTGCGGACCAGCTTCCGGCAGCACTACCATCTCCGCATGCACCATTTCAACTGTACATATAGCCTGCTCAACTGATGACCAAATCGTGTTATGACCTGTCTGCCGGTCCCGATCATACTTGTAAGTCGAGCACTAGCTGTATCCATCATTAACAGCCGGAACCCAGTTCCTGATCATTGTAGCTTCTGGAATCAAGGGGTACCAGGGTCAAATCTCCTTTGGCTCTTGCTGTGGTGCTTGTGTAGGCAACTTGGAGATTCTAGTGCCTGCCCTACTACAGTCTCTGTAGAGTAACTGCCCATGCACTGTCAAAACAGCTTCAGACCTAGTAAAGAGTGGCTTTTGTTTGAAAGGATTAATGCAAGGGGCAGGAGGGTCTATTATAACAGGGGGAGGGAGACTACTGCAAAAGAGAGCACACTATGACCACAAGGGTTAGGCCAAAAAGAGCTTTTCTTTTATAGGAAGGAGAAAACAAGGCTAGAAAGAACCCGGAAGTGGGGTGAAAGGGTGAAATGATGGGTTAGTAGATCAGAGAATATATGAACCCGAGGCCAGCCTATTCTGAGGAGGGGGTGTCTGCTGGCTCAGGCCCAGGGTGAGCCAAAGTTCAGGGGCCTGGAGGAAGGAGAGCATCTTAACCAAAGTGGTTACCAAGCATTTGATAACGACTGATTAGTGGGACAAGCAGTTCAGGTAATCACTTATAAGACAAAGAACGAGAACTTGGAGAGTCTATGTCTTGTTTAACTGCTCTCACAGGTAAACAACAGGGGGATGTCCTGGAGTCTTAAGTTTTACAGGGGAGGGCCGATTCTTTGCAGTTAACTTTTTTCCAGAACACAAAAAGGTGACAGCAATTCCTTTTATCTTTACTGTTTCCCAGGGGTACAAGACTCAGGGAAAATTCAACATTATCACTACTCAAGGTGAGGAAGGAGACCCAAGCATCTAGGATCACCTCCCGCTTGACTTCCACGCTACATTCCAATAGAAGAAAAGGCTGGCCAACTGGCGCCTCCTAAATCCCCTTCCTATAGATAGCAGGCATAGCATGGGGGAATCTCTCCGGAAGGCATTGTTTTTACTTAAACAAGATCAAACCCCCACTCCACTCCTCCTCCATCGACCAAGACCCTTTCACATGTAATTTCTAAAACTGTAAACCCAAGACCCTTTCACATGTAATATCTAGAGTTGTAAGCCTATATAATGGCAGAGCTTCTCTTTGTTAGAGGAGCTCGGCTGTTAGACAAACGTGTCGCCTTGCTCCCGGCTGAAATAAATCACCTCTTCCCTCCTAATTTGGTGTCTGAGAGCTCTGTTTCTTGTGGCCAGTCCTGCTTCAAAGGCAAGTAACCTAGCATAGCATATAACCATGAGGATTCTGGGCCTGTGGCTGCTGGGTTCCAACACCAGCATCGCAGTGAGCTTGGTGGGTTAGGAGAGCTTTCTGTGCTTTACTTGCTCCCTCCCTCATATGGTTTGGCTATGTTACCACCCAAATCTCATGTTGAATTGTAGCTGCCATAATCCTCAAGTGTTGTGGAAGGGCCCAATGGGAGATAACTGAATGATGGAGGAGGTTTCCCCCATACTGTTCTCCTGGTAGTGAATAAGTCTCATGAGATCTGATGGTTTTGTAAGTGGTTTCCCTTTTCACTTGATTCTCATTCTCTCTTGTCTACTGCCATGTAAACGTGCCTTTCACCTTCCAGCATGATTGCGAGGCCTCCCCAGCCATGTGGAACTGTGAATCCATTAAACCTCTTTTTCTTTGTGAATTACTCAGTCTCGGGTATGTCTTTATCAGCAGTGTGAAAGCTGACTAATACACTCCCTAAAATGGGAATGATCATGATCAATACAACAGCTACAATTTTAATATTTTTAAAGCACTTTAGCACAGTACCTAGAATCCGCTAATCTATGAGCTTATCTTGAGCAAGCCTGTTTCCTACTGAGACCCCAAGCCCAGTATGAGCATAACTTTCCACACCTCTGTGCAGTGCTGCAAAAGGCCTGCACACTTGGAGCCCATAGGAGAGTGTGCTCAAAAGACAAAAGTCTCAATGCCCCCGCACCACTCAGCATCAAAGCAAAGGCGGCAGAAGTGTGTGCCCTGGCCACTTCCTTCTCACTTGAGCCGACCGTGGATGCAGCACTTGCTGGTGGGTCAACTGTGGATCTGACTTTCCAAAAGTACAAGTACGTGGCCACTTTAATCACCGAGCCTCACTTTACTTCTCTGTAAAACAGGGAGAACTAATAATCCTAGCTGCCCGGATTAAATGGTGATTGCGAAACAGCCTTGTACGAAGTTATTATCTGCGCAGAGGAAAAAGCGGGTGTCACTGGGGGAAGGACCCGGCGGGAACACCCCAGCCTTTCTCTGGCTTCACCCTCTGACTTTCTAAACGGGATGGGGCGGGGCGACGGCATCGATTACTCGGCGCTCCTCCAGGCTCTCCGTCGGATCAGACGAGCAGCGAGCGATCAATACCCCTGTGCTAGCGTCTGACTCCTCCGAGGAGACAGACGAGTGATCGGACCAAACGCAACGTTTGTCGCCAGCCCAAAGACGACTCAACACCGTCGCAGCTGAAGAGAGGTTAGTTTGAGCAACTCGAGAGGGCAGTCAGCTCCGGCTCCTCAGAAGTGGAGAGGCCGGGTTCGGAGACATGAACAGCGCAGGCGTCTTGCGAAGCGTCAAACCCGGCCTCGCGCATGCGCCTTGGAAGGCCCTGCGGCTGGCCGAGTCGGCGCATGCGCTCTGAAAATGCAGTTTAGCGCTTCGCTCACCTGCGCTGTCGGAGGGCAAGGCTCCGCGCGTGCGTAGTGCTCATCTTCTGGCGGTTTTGCGCATGCGTGAGGGCAGTCCGCGGCAGGCTGCTGTACGCTTGCGTGGTTCTTGGCGTCTTGTCAGTGCAGCCCTAGTGCGCCTGCGCAAGTGTTTACGCCGTGACGTGTGTGTCTTGGGCCGCAAGGTCGGCTGGAAATGATTGAGACGCCAGGTATCGAATATGAGTGACGAGAAATGCAGCCCCGGGGAAGGGCTGAAGAGGGAATGGGGTCTGAGGCCTCGGGGCGCAAGGCTACTGCGAGATACCTGGGACCCTCTGGGGCCTGGGCGTGTGGCTGCTGGAAGGAAAGGTGCTTATAGCTCGGAAAGACTTAACGCTGAGCATCGGTGCGTTTCTCAGTAACTGAGAATCGGGGTGCTCAGGAGGACTCGGGAGCAAGCCCCGGGTCGGGAGGTGCGCAGGTATTGGGACCATATGGACGACCCAAACACAAGACTGTGAGCCCCTTAGAGAGCCAAAGGGATCCTTGTGCCATGAATAAAGCTTTCTGGGAAATGTTCCAAACTTCTCTGGGAAGTTTTACAAAGCTCTTGTTTTTGAATAAGTTTTGCAGAATACTGCCATAATAACATTGAAGAGATTGGAGAATGGGACTGCCTGTTCCCAGAAAGCCAGGTGTAGGCCGATCTGTCACGGAAGCCCCCTTTGGAGGCTTTCTCATGACCAGCGTGGTGCTTGCAGAGTGCCCACTCTGAGACCCTCTGCAAATCACAGTGAGGTTCTCGGAGAAGCCATTCCACCCAGCCGCCTTAAATACCCTGGGAGGTGCTTTAGAGGAGCCGATGTTTAAAAATAATTTAAGGCCTGGCACGGTGCCTCACACCTGTAATCCCAGCACTTTGGGATGCCAAGGCAGGCGGATCACTTCAGGTCAGGAGTTCACAGGACCAGCCTGGCAACGTGGGACAACCCAGTCTCCACTAAAAATACAAGTGTTAGCCGGGTGTGGTGGCGGGTGCCTGTAACCCCATTTACTTGGGTGGCTGAGGCAGGAGAATCGCTTGAACCTGGAAAGCGGAGGTTGCAGTGAGCCAGGACGGCCAGGACAGGGCCATTGTACTCCAGCCTGGGCAACAGAGCGATACTCCGTCTCAAAAATAATAAAAATAATTTGAGAGAATCCTGGGATGACAGGGCAGTAGCTTCCAAGAGGGATTATCTCATAACCTACCAGGAACCGACCCACTTTGCCAGTTTGTATAGTGAATTCTGTCTGGATGATGAATTTATAAAGTCTGAGCCTGAGTCTATTCAAGCTATTTTATATAGGCTATACTTTTTGTTTATACAGGCTCCTTTTTGTTTAATACGACCAACAAGAAGCCTTTTATAAGATTCATCTTAGGCTTATTTGTAAATCCAGGAGAAAAACCACTCTGAGAGGTTAGCTCATAATAGCCTATATTTTGACCTTCTTTGCAAGATCATTTCATACACTGACAGACAAGACTTTGTGTAAAGAGCATGTAGGGGCTGAATCAAGTCCACTCAAAAGCTGTTTTATGCAGCCTGTACTTGATCTTCCCCCTGAAAGCTGTTCCAGCTTATGAGGCCAGTTCACAAAGCCAGGACATAAGACCACTCAGGCTGTTTCTATACCTGACAACCCTCTTCCCACCCCCTGCAAAAAAGCCTTCTCTGGGCTAGGCACGGTGGCTCACTCCTGTAATCTGAGCACTTTGGGAGACCGAGGCAGATGGATCACCTGAGGTCAGGAGTTCAAGACCAGCCTGGCCAACATGGTGAAACCCCATCTCTACTAAAAATAGAAAAATTAGCCAGGCATGGTGGCAGGTACCTGTAATCCCAGCTACTCGGGAGGCTGAGGCAGTAGAATTGCTTGAACTCAGGAGGCAGAGGTGTGGGCGACGGAAAATCCGCCGGGGAGTCTTGGCCAGCAAGAGGGTCCCGACCTGAAAGAGGGGGTGCGCAGAAATAAAGAGAGACAGAATAGCTGGGGTCTGGAGGACTGAAAAGGCAATGCCTAAACAGTGAATTTGTTTTTGTCCAGGGTCTCAATATATACCTTAAGATCAAAGGTGTTTACACAATCAACAATAAGAGGAATGGAAATTTACAAAATATAGGATCATGAAAACAATCTTAAGTATGACATTCAGGGATCATAAAAGTGGGCAGGTGGTATGCTTTATCTGTTTTTACGAAAACACACTTGTGAATAACAATACCCAAGAGTCACAAGCTAAGCCATAAAGTCATTATCTAGGGTTCAAGGTGGTCATGCGGATAAGGTAAAACTTCTTGAAAAGTAAAGTCGTAAAGGTCATGCAGAGGCCTAGTGGAGACATAATGTCTGACAAAACCACATGACCCTTTCCCAAGCGGCATTGTAGTCAGAAGTAGAAACCTTTGCAACATCAGTCATTTCTTAGTTCCTTCTTTCCCATAGCTCGACTGCCTCCAGCAGGAAACTGTGTTTTGGGCTCAAGCTCACCGTCTGGTGAGGCCCAAACATTAGGGGGCCTTACACGGGAGCGATCCCCACACAGAGGTTGCAGTTAGCTGCGATCACGCCATTGCACTCCAGGCTGGGTGACAGAGCGAGACTCTGTCTCAAAAAAAAAAAAAACCTTCTCTGACCAACAAGATGTTTTTTAAGGCCAATACCTCTTGAGCTCTGGGAAACTGACTTGTAAAGTGAAGATAAGAGGCCACTGAGGCTTTTTAGTGTGGCCCACACGTGAGCCCGGGCAGGCTGGGGCGCTCTAGTCCTACCACAGTGTGCGCTTACTGGAAAGGATGCTCATTGTGAACCAAGGACTGAGCTCAGCCCTGTGGATACAAAGTCCAGAGAGCTCACCCTGGAGGGCAATGAGTGTTCTGGGTAGACCTGCTACTTACTGTGTAGTTTGGACAAGTTGCTTAACCTCTGAAATCTCAGTCTATTCATCTGTAAAACTTCCATTGTAAGACTGCAAGGGATGTGTTCTATATGTCAAGCTTGCAGTGTTGCCATGCCACATAGGAAAGGGTGCTAAGATCAGCCGGAATTTAAGCTCTGCGTCTGCGCAAATGATTGACCATAGGGCTTAGGGCAAGTTACTTCTTTTTTTTTTTTTTTTTTTTTTTTTTTTGAGATGGAGTCTGGCTGTGTCTCCCAGGATGGAGTACAATGGCGCAATCTTGGCTCACTGCAGCCTCCACTTCCTAGGTTCACACAGTTCTCCCGCCTCAGCCTTTCAAGTAGCTGGGATTACAGATATGTACCACCACGCCCAGCTCATTTTTGTATGTTTAATAGAGACAAGGTTTCACCATGTTAGTCAGGCTGGTCTCGAACTCCTGACCTCAAGTGACGCACCGCCTCGGCCTCCCAAAATGCTGGGATTACTGGCGGCATGAGCCACCTGGCCTTTTTTTTTCTTTCTTTCTTTTTTCAATTTAAGACAGGATCTTGCTCTGTCACCCAGGCTGTTGGTATGATCTCGGCGTATTGCAACCTTTGCCTCTAGGTTTAAGTGATCCCCCCACCTTCAGATCCTCGAGTTGCTGGGACTACAGGCATGTACCACCATGCCCAGCTAATTTTTTGTATTTTTTGTAGAGATGGGGTCTTGCCATGTTGGCCAGGCTGGTCTTGAACACCTGAGCTCAACCGATCCACCTGCCTTGGCCTCCCAAAGTGCTGGGATTACAGGCGTGAGCCACCGTGCCGGCCTCCTCGAATACTTTTGAAAGTCCTGCACTCCTGAGTGCCTGCCATGAGGCAGACTCTGTGTTTAGGCTCTGGGGAAGCACAGGGGAATGGCTGCGTTCTTGCTCTGGAGGAGCCATCGGTGCAGTGTTGGATAGACAACATGTAAGCAGGTGTATTTCATACATTGTCACAGATGCTATAAAGAGAAGCTCAAGGGCTGCAGGAACACAGAACACTGTTGGAGAATCTTGGCAGGCCTCACATACAGGTATTTAAGATGGGCCTTAAAGGTTGGGTAGGAGTTTGCCAGGCAGCAGAGGGGTATGGGAGGCAGTGCAGACAAGGACAATCTACATGTTCCTTTCTGAACACACGTTTGTCCAGTGCTCACTGAGTACCAGGTATTGTAACAGGCCCTGAAGATACAGCGGTGACCCCAGAGAGGAGGGGGCCGTCCCTTCTGTAAATGCCCAGCAGAGAAGACCGCTGTTGAAAAATCCTCCCAGATGAGATGCAGGAAGCTGCAGGAATGCACCGGGGACAGGTCTGTCCTGGTGTCTAACTCTTGTTTCTCTCCGCCTCCCCAGGCACACGACCGACTGAGCTGGCGGTGGTCCAATGGCTGGAGACACCCACTGCCCCGCAGAGCCCCTGGCCGGAGAAGGCACTCTTTGGGAGGCCCTCAGGGCGCTCCTGCCACACACTAAAGAAGACCTGAAGCTGGACCTCGGGGAGAAAGTGGAGAGGAGCGTGGTGACGCTGTTGCAGCAAGCCACTGAGCTCTTCTACAAGGGCAGGAGGGCCGAGTGTCTGCAGACCAGCGAGGTGATCCTGGACTACTCCTGGGAGAAGCTCAACACGGGCACGTGGCGGGACGTAGACAAAGACTGGCGCCAGGTCTACGCCATGGGCTGCCTCCTGAAAGTCCTGTGTCTGTGCCAGGCACCTGGGGACGCCACCACTGTGGCCGCAGCCCTGCGGGTCTGTGACATGGGCCTGCTGATGGGGGCGGCCATCCTTGGGGACATCCTCCTTAAAGTCGCTGCCATCCTGCAGGCACACCTCCCTGGAAAAAGGCCTGCCCATGGCTCCACCCCGGAGCAGCCCTGCACAAAGGTATGTGGGGGAGATTATCCCCAAGCACAACAGCCATCCAACAACCCTGCTGTCCTAGAAATTCCAAGTTCTCTCTCCCCTGGGATGGAGCCTCATGGCCTGCAATCCCTCTGATGGAAAATAGCATCTCCATTGATTTTGAATTCCTGTTTGTTTTTTGAGGTACACTCCCGCTCTGTCACGCCGGCTGGAGTGCAGTAGTGCAATCTCGGCTCACTACAGCCTCCTCTTCTTGGGCTCAAGCAGTCCTTCTGCCTCGACCTCCTTAGTAGCTGGAACCATGGATGCGTGGCAACACACCCAGCTATTTTTCTTAGTTTTATTTTTTATTTTTATTCATTCTTTTTTTGAGACAGAGTCTCGCTCTGTCACCCAGGCTGGAGTGCAATGACACGGTGTTGGTCACTGTAACCTCTGCCTCCCAGGTTCAAGTGATTCTCCTGCCTCAGTCTCCCGAGTAGCTGGGATTATAGGTGCCTACACCACGCCCGGCTGATTTTTGTATTTTTAATAGAGATGCAGTCTTCACCATTTGGCCAGGCTGGTCTCAAGCTCCTGACCTCAGTTGATCTGCCCACCTCAGCCTTTCAAAGTACTGGGATTACGGGTGTGAGCCACCACGCCCAGCCACATATTATTTTTATCTAAGAAAAAATGCAAATGTTGTCACTAAACACACATGCACGTAACCAAAATAAAACAAAATCCAATAAAGGGAGAAGAAAAATTTTCAACAAATATGTCAGACAATGAAGATCTCTATTATGTAAGGAATGGTACAAATCAATAAGGAAAAAATCTTGAGCCCCAGGAGGTAGAAGTCCAGGAGCCTGAACAGACTGTTCACAAGATGGAAATAGGTCTGTTAAACAAATGTGCAGGAAAATATTCAACCTCACCTCTGGTTAAAAAAACAAAAGAGAGATATGCAAATAGCAAAACAGCATGTCATCTTTGGGTATTAAGTTAGCAAACAAAGTTTCATATGACACCCAGTGTTGCCAAGGGCACTATGGGGCCAAGGGCATGGTGTGTGGGTTACCCTTTTATTTTATTTCATTTTTTACCTACAGGGTCTTGCTCAGTCATCCAAGCTCGAGTGCTAATCATAGCTCACTGCAGGCCGGGCATGGTGGCTCACACCTATAATCCCAGCACTTTGGGAGGCCGAGGCTGGTGGATCACCAGAGGTCAGGAGTTCAAGACCAGCCTGGCCAGCATGGTGAAATCCCATCTCTACTAAATGTACAAAACTTAGCCAGGCATTCTGGCACACACCTGTAATCCCAGCTACCCTGGAGGCTGAGTTGGAAGAATTGCTTGAACCCAGGAAGCAGAGGTTGCAGTGAGCCAAGATCATACCACTGCACTCCAGCCTGGGCAACACAGCAAGACTCTGTCTCAAAAAAAACATAGCTTACTGCAGCCTCGACCTCCCAGGCTCAGGTGATTTCTCCCACCTCAGCTTCCTGAGTGGCTGGGACTACAGGTGTGCACCACCACGTCTGGCTTTTAAAATTTTTTCTAGTGATGGAGGTTTCTTTATGTTGCCCAGGCTGGTCTCAAACTCCCGGGCTCAAGCAGTCCTCCCACCTTGGCCTCCCAAAGTTCTGGAATGACAGGCACGAGCCACCGTGCCCAGCCATTTCTCAGCAGTTTCACACCTGTGGGCACTAGACACTGAGGCCTCGAACAGCAAGTAACGCCTCAGGTCACCCAGTTGGAAGATAGTTAAGTAAATGATGGTGCAGCCGCACCTAAAAAATTGCAAGGACTGGGTGGCCAGGTGGAAACTGCTTTTGATAAATGATTGGACGGGAGAGGCAGGGCTGCTGCTTCATTGTGGCTGTTACTCCCAGCGGGTCAGAAATTGTGTGTGTGTGTGTGTGTGTGTGTGTGTGTATGTGCGTGTGTACGTATGTGTGTGCATGTGTCTGTGTATATGTGTGTGTATGTGTGTATATGTGTATGTGTGTATGTGCGTGTGTATGTGCGTGTGTGTGCATGTGTGTGTAATGCATGTGTGTATATGTGTGCATGTATGTGTGCATGTATGTGCGTGTGTATGTGTATGTGTCTGCGTGTGTGCGTGTATCTGTGCATGTGTGTATGTGCATGTGTGTGTGTGCATGGTGTATATGTGTGCACGTGTGTGTGCATGCATGTGTATGTACATGTGTGTATGCGCATGTGTGTAAGATGGGAAAAGAATATGCAGGAATGAAAAGACCTTAAGCTGATGAAGTTGGGGCATAGTAAGTTTTCCTTTATTGTAGAATTTCTGTGAAAGCAGTGTATTATATTGCTTTTATAATGAAACAAACATTTTTAATGAAACAGGTAAGAAAAAAACCACCTTGATCTCATGAGGAGCAAATAGCAGTAGTAGCAGTAATAAAACTTTGTCTGTTGTTGCTGGGACTCATGACAGCTAAGCTCTCCTCCCCCGACACAGGTTCCTGGTGGAATGCCTCAAATGTTGACTTCCTGAGGCAGCTGCTATTTTGTTCTGTTTTGATTTTAAACAGAAAGCGAGGACGGACCATGGTTCGATTCCAGATGTGAAGTTAGAAAGAACAGTGCCCCGGCTGCACTGCCCATCCCTCCAGCATTTCAGGGAGCAGTTTTTGGTTCCAGAGAGGCCTGTGATCCTGAGAGGCGTGGCTGACCACTGGCCGTGCATGAAGAAGTGGAGGTGGGTGGCCGCTGAGGGAGGTAAGGTCCCTCTTTCCGTTTTAGTGTTCCCCACAGCTCCCTGAATTCCTCCCCCAACCATCCCCAGGGAAATGCCGCCTTGTAGATGCTTCACTAGCAGCCCTTGACTGATTGCCAAGGGGCTAAAAAAGAATGAAAAGTAAGGTGCTCCGAATTTATGCCGCAGGGTACGGGATTCTCATCTTCCACCTCTTGCTGGCCCTAAGCGGGTTTTTGATGATTCCCTAAGTGGCAATGTCTGTTATACAATTTTGCAGGATCCTAGCAATTTCAGATCATCTCAGGGCCCTGAAGCTAAGCGTAGAAATAACTCAAGAGACAGCCTCTCTCTGTCTCTGAGGGATTCCGTGGTCTCCTGTGTTGATTTCTAGTCCTTTCTCAGATTCACGATGGGGCGATCAGATCAGGCAGCTGGAGCGTGGCTGTCATGCCATGGCTCTGCATGAGTTTGGAAATAAGGAGGCATCTCTCAAGGAAGGTAGATGGAGTCAGGCTGTTTTGTGGTTTAGCGGAGGGAACACTACCGGCTGACGTGTGTAGGAATTCTCACTGCAGGAGCCCTCCTCACAGCCAGCCTTCGTGAAGCATTTCGCTGTGTATACCTGGCACTAGGACAGCTGCTGTCATCACCCCCATTCTGTAAATGGAGATCAAGGACTCACAGAGGCTCAGTAACCTGCTGCAGATCCCCCGGTCTAACTGATGAGGCCGGGAATTAGTCAGGCTAGAATGCAGAGCTCAGTGGACATCACTTCACCACTCCCCATGCTGCCGCTATTTGTTTAAAGGTTTCTCAGCTTAGTGACAAAATGAGCAAAGAAAGAAGGGAGGAGGCCGTTGGCAAGCAGGGAACCAGAGCAGCCCAGCCCGCCAGACTTACCGGCCCCATCTTTAATGCTCCGCAGCACCATGTCTGAGCTGTATAGCTTGAGCCGGGAACCCCGCTTCTCCATGCCCGTTTCCTCATCAGTGAAGAAGGGGATGACAGTCCCCATCTCTGCACGTGAGGTTTGCTGAGGATGGAAGGGAACCCCATATAAAGCACACTTAGTACTATGCCCAACAAATATTAGCAGTGATGACGCCAAGGCATATCTTTCTGCTAGTCTGGAGTATATCCAGGAGATCGCTGGCCACCGAACCGTCCCTGTGGAAGTTGGCTCCAGGTACACAGACGAGGAATGGTCCCAGACACTCATGACGGTCAATGAGTTCATCAGCAAATACATCGTGAATGAGGTACGTCATGGGGACTGCTTTCCCCTGGTACTCGCAAGGGAGAGAGCGTAGTACATTTAGACAAATAGCCCTTCATGCATTGCAGTGGGAGGTTTTAGAGGAGTCAGTCTGTAAGTCTGTGGTTGCAGAATGACCGCGGCCAGCAGACATGAGGGATTTATTTCAGGTCCTTTTTTAGGGTAGGGGAGTATAATTCAGTGGGTTTTAGTCTGTTCCAAAAGTTGGACCTCAAAGTCAAGAGTATGTATTTAAAGTTTTAATAGTGGCCAAGCATGGTGGTTCACACCTGTAATCCCAGTACTTTGGGAGGCTGAGGCAAGCAGATCACTTGAGGCCAGGAGTTCGAGACCAGCCTGGCCAACATGGTGAAACCCTGTCTCTACTAAAAATACAAAAATTAGCCGGGCGTGGTCACGCGTGTCTGTAATCCCAGCTACTAGGGAAGCTGAGGCAGGAGAATCATGGAGCGGGAAGGAGTGGGGGAGGGGGCAGAAGGGGAAGGGAGGAAAGGTTCTCCCAAAAGTTAAATCACTTATACTTTCATCAGCAGTTAACACAAGCGTCCACTCGGTGTTGTCATTTTATGAAAATGTTTGCCAACCAGATGGATGAGATCAGTGCTTTACAAAGGGCGTTCCCAGTGCTGGAGAAGTTTTTTGAAGCTGCTCCAGGGCCTCTGAGGGTTGGAGAGGACCACTCAGGATGGAGTGGAAGGGTGGCAGGGGCTGGGGCCAGCTGGACAGCAGCAGCAGCAGCAGGAGGGCATCTGCGATGACTAACTGGGCTTTCTGTGTCGCCTCTGGTTTTCTCCGGTGGATTAGCCGAGGGACGTCGGGTACCTTGCTCAGCACCAGCTCTTTGACCAGGTAAGTCTGAGACCATGTGCCTCTGTCCTTCACCTTCTCCCCTTTCCTCCCCTCCTGGGCTCAGTGTGGCCAGAACAGTGGACACGAGGAGGAGGGAGGCAGCAGGTGAGGCTGAGAAGTCGGCAGGACCCAGCTGACGAGGAGCCATTTTCTTAAAGTGATGGGAAACACTGGGGGGTCGCCAGTGCTCCCATGATCGCAGGGGCCGCTGTTCGGAGATGAAGGGAGCAGCTGTCAAGAGCGGGAGGCTGGCTGGGCTGTTGCTGTGGTCCAAGGAGAGGTGATGCCGGCAGGCGGAGCAGTTCAAGATCGGTGTGAACCATCAGGCCCTGGACGTGGGCGGATGTGTGGGGCTAGGAGGGAAGATCGGGGAAGACACCCAGATTCAGGACCCCAAAACACTAAATAGATGGGGCTGGAGTGTGCAGGAGGGACCTGGCTGGTGTGGTGTCTGCCAGGAGTGCCCAGGGAGGCAGCACTTGGCAGGATTCAAGGACAGGACCAGGGGCGTTCCCTGAACATGGAAAACTAGAGTCAGTCGGAGTCAGGGCCACGGTCAAGGCTGCCTCTGCGGGGGGCCCTGGGTTGCTACCCAGCTGCTGCATCTGCTGCTGAGGCCAGGACTGCCTGACTCTCTGTCTTGATGGGGGAGGCAGGGCCAGTAGGGGCTGTGCCAGGACCTTTCATGCCGACATTAAAGGAGGCTGGCAGTTTCTCTTCCCCAGGCCTCTCTCTTAGGACTTAGGCATCCTGCCTCCTGTCCATGTCACTTGCTAAGTGAAGGAAAGGGGGATTGATCAGGTCCCTACTGTGTGATCCCAAGACCCGCCTTTCCCCTGACCCCAGTCATCCTGGGGTGTGGCCTCACTGTGGGCCGGGGACCCTGGAAGCCTCAGTTAACCTTGGCTCCCTGTCCTGGAGCAGCTGAAGTGGCCTTAGAGTGAGTGTGTTTTCTGTCTGAGATCCTGGCCTTGTCTAAAGGGCCCAAGGCCGTGTGCAGTGGTTCACACCTGTAGTCCCAGCGCTTTGGGAGGCCAAGCAGGGCCTCCTGTTTCATATTTCCTAGGACAGGAGGAGATATATATAGGAGTAGAAGGCCAAGTTCACAGTGACTTTCAAGATGAAGCAGGACTTTAAAGATGCTTCAGGTGATGGAGCGCCGCCTGGGTGTTTAGTTTAACTTGAGTCCTGGAGATGAATGTCCACCGTGCTGTGGAGAGGACCTTGGAGAAGTCCCAGCATTCCGTGCCCAGGCGCTGTCATGCAATGTGGCAAGGACGATGTTCTAGGACCTTCTCTACCTCCAGGACACTCAGGGACTCCTACCAAATTCTTGTCCAAGAACCTCTTATTGACTTTTCTCCCAGAGACCCCATATTTTAGAAGATTCTGGCCATCAGTTTAAGCCCACCTCAATTATCAGTCACATCCCAGTGGCACGGATTCCCTTGGGGGCCTCTGCGTCCTTGGCCAGTGATTCTGATGACATGATCTGGTCAGCCAGTCACCTTTCAGAAATCCTGATGATGTCATCAGGGGCCAATCAGAGTTTCTGCTTAGATTCCACAGGGCCAGGTCTGGTCAGAAGCAGCAGTGGCGGGTGTTACCTTTGGGAGGGAGCCCCCCACATCCCTGGGAGAGCCCTCAGCTTGTGAACTTGTACTCTTGTACTTCATCCCTAAGCAGCAGGTACGGCTGCATTTCCGCACAGCATTTGAGACAGTTTCTTAAAGGACTGAACAGCAGGGTCTGGGACCAAGCTCCCTGCGGGGAGGACATTCCAGCTTTTCCCGGTACACACTGGTTTCTGAGCCAGGTGCCTGAAGTTACCATCACTGCTCCGGAAGGAATGGTAGTGTCCACCTGCAGATGCCTTCAGACTGGGAGCAGTGACTCTAAAAAGACCTGTGTGCCCCTGGCAACCCTGTTTTCATGCCTTTCAAGCTTGAAAAATGCTGCCAGGTCCAACTAGGGTCCTGTGAAGAACGCTGGGGTTCTTGGTGGCCTGCGGGGTGTGGGCTGGTGGCCTGCTCTGGTGGGTTCAACCCTAGAGGTAACTGAGGTGCCTACTAAGGGTCTAGACAGGAAGTGGCCTTAGAGTGAGTGTGTTTTCACTCTGAGACCCTGGCTTTGTCTAAAGGAGGCAAGGGCTATGTGCAGTGCCTCACACCTACTGTCCCAGCACTTTGGGAGGCCAAGCAGGACCAGCCTAGACAACATAGCAAGACCCCATCTCCAGAAAAATAAAATTAGCCAGGCATGGTGGCATGCTCCTGTGGTCCCAGCTACTCAGGAGGCTGAGGCAGGAGGATCACTTAAGCCCTGCAGGTCAAGGCTACAGTGAGCCGTGATTGCACCACTGCACTCCAGACTGGGTGACAGAGCAAGACTGTCTGTGAAAAAAAAATTATAATACATAAATAAAGGAGGCCAGGCCACTGCAGCCCTCCCCCACCATGAATATCCAAGATCACCTGATGTGTGGCATACAGCTCTATTGGAGGCGGTGGGAAGCCGCCTCTTCCTTACTGCTTCATACAAATCTCAGAGCACAGACCCAGGTCCATGCCTGCCTTTCTCATCAGCCGGTTTCTCTGCCTAGCCTGTTTCTGCCAGGCATGGCAACAAATCCTCTGTGCCTACCCTGGCTTTGAAAACTAGCAAGGTGAGGGCCAGATGTGAAGGCTCACAGATGTGATTCCAGCACTTTGGGAAAGCGAGGCAAGTGGATCACTTGAATCTAGGAACTCAAGACCAGCCTGGGCAACCCGGCAAAACCTTGTCTCTACAAAAATTAAAAACAAATTATCCAAGCACGGTGCATGCCTATACTCCCAGTTACTGGGGAGGCTGGGGTGGGAGGATCACTTGAGCCCAGGAGGCAGAGGCTGCAGTAAGCTGAGATCACGCCACTGCACTCCAACCTGAGAAACAAGGTCCAGACCCTGTCTCAAACACACACATACATGATGGATATAGTTGTGTGTCTCTGACTCTTAGTTGGCTTCTGGGCTACTGTGTCCGGGGCCTGATCCCCGCCTCTCACGTCTGCTCTGCTGCCCACAGATCCCGGAACTGAAGCAGGACATCAACATCCCCGACTACTGCAGCCTGGGCAGTGGGGAGGAAGAGGAGATCACCATTAATGCCTGGTTTGGTCCCCAGGGAACCGTCTCCCCGCTCCATCAGGATCCCCAGCATAACTTCCTAGTCCAGGTGGGAGCTGCCGTGGGAACAGTGGCCCTCCTGTCTCCTGACTCAGTCACCGGGCCGGCCGCATTCCCTGCCTTTAAAAACCAGGCTCTTAAAAAGAAACAAAAAGCACTGAAGGGGATGTGGACAAAAATATAAAACAAACCCAGAAACGGTCCCAGGCCTGGGGAAGGCTCTGCAGTTGGCTGCTTCCAGAAGCAGCTACTCCTGCCTGTGCTCGCCCCAAGATCCCTCGCAGGGAGCCCTTGGGAGAGGGGGCGGGTGAGTGCTGGCACAGCTGCCCAGGTACCCCTCCCTCCCCCTCCTCCACCTGCCATCCATCTGATCCAGACCAGCTTCCAAATAGGAGATGGCAGGTTAGGGGAGGAGTTTTCCTGAGACCCAGGCAGAGGAGCAGATGGGTTTGCTGTAAAGGGAGGCGCCTCTGTCTACTGCTGTAAGACCACCTTGGTTTTCACAGGCAGAGAGAGGTTTAGTAAAGAACATTCTTCTAGCCCAGCAGACTGGTCCAGTGAGGCAGTCCAGGAGGGGGCTAAGAGCTGAGCTTCAGGAGCCAGCCTGCCAGGCGCAGACTCCAGCCCTGCCACCCCTTAGCTTTGTAAGCTTGGGCAGCTCATTTAACCGCTCTGTGCCTCAGTTTGCAAAATGGGAGTGAAGATAAACCACGTCAGAGAGGATTAAACCAGTTAACACACATAAAGTACTTAAGCAGTGCCTGGCACAGACAAGTGCCTAGTAACTGTGGGCCCCAAAAACGAAGTTATTCATAATGGATTTGGAGGAAAAACATACCTTTAGGTGAAGTTTGGTGCTTCATACCTAAAATCTCAGCACTTTGGGAGGCCGAGTCAGGAGGACCCCTTGAGGCCAGGAGTTTAAGACCAGCCTGGGTAACATAGTGAAACCCCATCTCTAACAAAAAAAAATACAAAACTCAGCTAGGTGTGGTGGGGCACACCTGTAGTCGCAACTACTGGGGAGGCTGGGGCGGGAGGATCTCTGGAGGCCGGGAGGTCGAGGCTGCAGTAAGCCCTGATCACACCAGTGCACTCCAGCCCGGATGACCAAGTGAGACCCTGTCTCTAAAAATATACGTGAGACCTTCTCTCTAAAAATACGGGGAACTGTAAGCATGTGTTTGGTGGGAAGGGCAGACTGGGCCCAGTATGTGGAAGGGCACAGAGGCCAGGACGGGCGGGGGCAGCAGCAGAGTGAGGCCACCAGCTGACTGTCGGGGTCTCTTTTCCCAGGTGATGGGGAGGAAGTACATCCGGCTGTATTCCCCGCAGGAGTCAGAGGCTCTGTACCCTCATGACACGCACCTTCTCCATAACACAAGCCAGGTAGGCACTGGGGGTCCGGGGTGACGTTGCAGGTTCTCCCCACTGCCCCTGGAGAGGATGACATCCTTTAATTTCTCCAGGTGGACGTGGAGAATCCTGACCTGGAGAAGTTCCCCAAGTTTGCCAAGGCTCCGTTCGTGTCCTGCATCCTGTCCCCTGGAGAGGTCCTGTTCATCCCAGTGAAACACTGGCACTACGTGCGAGCTCTGGATCTGAGCTTCTCGGTCAGCTTCTGGTGGTCATAGCCAGGAAGGGAACTGAAGGGGCCTGACGTGCAGACAGCATTCATCTGTTCACGGATTTCCTGCTCGGTGGTCCCCCTGCTGCTACAGAGACAAGCAGGACTGAACCTGTGCCCTGAGGACCCTTTACTGCCCAGTGGCAGCCCTGAGGGGTCGAGCTCCAGCGCGGCACAGGCACAGAGCGAGAGCTGCCCAGAAAGGGGCACACGCCAGCCCGGGGGTGCATGGCAGAGGAAGGTGGGGTGAGCCCAGAAGGACATCGCAGGCAGGCAGCCTGCACAGGGGTTCCAGCATCAGAAAGCCTAACGTGCTTGGGAAACGGGCGGGCTCCACGGGCAGGGGTGAAATGTGGGCTCTGAGGTGGCTAAGGCAGGAGGATCGCTTAAGCCTTCCAAGTTGAGGCTGCAGTGAGCCGTGATTGCAACACAGCACTCCAGACTGGGAGACAGAGCAAGACTGTCTTTGAAAAAAAAATTATAGTAAATAAATAAGGAGGCTGCTTGACTCAAACCCAGCCCCACTGTGTACCTGCTGTGTGACTCGGCCAGGATCCCTCCCTTCACTGTGCCCACGTGGAAGAAGACGGCAAGGCCAGCCCTCACTGCAAGGGCCGAGGAGGCGGTGCCGAGCCCCTGCCGCTGCACGAACCTCAGCCGCTGTCGCTGCTCCCAATTAGTCCGATGCTTCTGCCCTTCCTTCCCATAACCGAGCCTGCTGGATGCCACAGCCTGAAGACTGGAGATAGAGCTAGGCACTGCCCCGGTCACAGAGGAGAGTCCGTAGAGGCCTGCTCAGGAGCCCGGACCCCTGCTGGGTGGTGGGAAATTTCTGTCATCCTCATGGCTCAAGGATAACGTACCTGCCTGCAGAGAAGTGCAGAGGTCTTCTGACTGAATGACTCTTCCCCTGCAAACTCCCCCAGGATCAGGCTCCCAAGTGGAGAAAGCAGACCATCAGCAGCCCCTCCCTCCACCTCCAGTCGCCATCCCCCTCAAACAGGGGAAGGGTTTGAGGCCGGGGGAGATCCCAGGCTCCATGCTTTCTGTAAATGTGTCTTCTTGGTGTGTATGCAGGTTTGTTTTATGTTTTGGCCGCTAAGACTTTCCCCAGCCCTCTTTTGTTTTGTTTTGTTTTGTTTTTTAAACTAAATAGAGATGGGGGTCTCACTATGTTGCCCAGGCTGGTCTCGAACTCCTGGGCTTAAGCGATCCTTCCACCTTGGCCTCCCAAAGTCCTGGGGTTACAGGTATGAGCCACCGTGCCAGCCTTGGCTGCTTTCTCCCTTCCAAGATAGGCCTGGGGAAAAGAGCCCCGAGGGTTCAGCTGCTGTCCTGCCAGCACCTTGACCCACAGGCTCAGCTGCTTGTCTTTCGACCCAAAATCAAGAAGCCCCAGGAGAGATTCTGGGTGGGGGGTGGGGGGTGTGTGTGTAGCTACCCTGGGGTAACTAGAGGGGGGATGGGAAGTGGTGGCGGGCAGCTGGAATTCCAGGTCCTGATGCCCTCCGTACCCAGGCCAAGGAGTTTGACCTTCATCCTGTAGGTACTGGGGTTCTCGGCCATTGGGCAGACACCAGCAGAATCTGCGTTCTTGAAAGCTGGCTGTTGGCAGGAAGAGGCCGTGGCTCTTACTCATCCTGGGAGTGGGCTGTTGAGGGGCCATGGGCGCGGCAGAGCATGACAAACGAGCTATCTGGAAGTGGAGTTAATTTGCTCCGTGTCTAGCTGCCTGTAAGGACATTGTTGATTCCCTGCCATTTTAATCATTTCCTAATCTTTCATAGGAAGAATTTACACCAGATGTCAACATCCCTGAAGGTAGCGAGGCATAAAACGGGGATGCCCCCATGCCTATGTTTGCCATGAGTGAGGAGCGGTGGCTGCCCAGCCAGAGGACCCTGACTCTCGGCCCACGTGTATAATTCGCACCCCTTCCCCAGCTGAAGGACAGGCGGGCTGTGGCCCCAGCTCCCAGTGCCCCTGCCTGTCCCGCTGGCAGGCCCCACAGCCCATCTGTAGTGTAGCGTGACAAAAAGCAGGGTACGGGAGGCCACGTTCATTAACATGTATCCAGGCCAGGAGGCCTCAAGCAAATGTCCCTTGTCAGATGAGAGGAACGGGAAGGGGACATGATCCTGCCCTGTCCCCCTCTTCCTGCTAAGGTTCCAGTGTTCCTAGGAATCCCAACCCTAGGATGGCTTCTGAAGCCAGCTTGGAACCCAAGCGCCAAACAATCACAGACCAAAGAGAGACACATATGCGAGCCCCCACCTAAGATGTGGCCACAGCTGTCAGGACACTGAGACTGCTACTGTGGACACAGGACACAGCTAGCATGCCTGTCACTGATCAGATGAGGCCCCTGACCTCGTGGTGTTCCAATGCCGTGGCAGGAGGTCCAATAAGGACGTAGGAATAAAATGATGGTGTCATGCCGTGTAAGTGCCATGAAGGCAACAGAGCAGGGTGACAGGGTGGAAAATGGCAGCCAGGGATGGATTGGTGGGGCCAGGGTTTTTTGATACTTGACATTAGAAGAGCAAGGGCTTGACCAGGAATTCAGAACTGGCTATGAGACTTGAGGCCCTGCTCCCAACACCAAGTCCAGCAGCCCTGAGACAGGAAAGCCCCAGCTTGGGGACAGGGGAAGGAGGAGCCAGGACGGCTGGAGCAGAGGGAGGGGAAGGTAGGAAGGAGGGCATTGGGGCCCCGGGGTCTGGGGACCAGCAGAAGAATGCACTGGAGGGGGGCTCAGCCATGGAGGGACGGGTCTGCAGCTGCTGTGCAGACAAAGGCCTAGAAGGGGACCCTGGGAACCAGGCCAGTCCATAATTCCCAAGTGACAAGGTCAGGGGCACCAGCAGGGCTACATGGCAGTGGGAGAGAAGGCAGGCAGGGTAGTGAAGGCCTTGAATGCCAGGCCAGCGCCTAGAGCCACTCATGAGGGTTTCGGGTGAGTGACAGTGTGTGTTGTGGGACATTCACGTCGATGTCATCATGGAGGGGCTGCAGGCAGGAAAGACAAGCAGCAGGAGGGCTGGTGTTGCCAGTGGCCAAGTGCCCAGAGGCTTCCTGGGTCCCCAGCCAGGACTCAGTCGAGCTCAAAGAACAAACGACCAGAAGCACCGGACAACTGGGACAACAGGCAGTCCGAGCTGCCCCAGCCCCTCCTGAAGGCCGTATTTACTGGTTGGCTTTTCGCCTCCTGGCGTCCATTCATCCAGAACAGCATGCTGATTGCATTCTGGAGAATGACCTCTGCCCCAGGGAGCCTGGTCCTGGAAGGTCCGAACGTCAGCTGCTCCCTGGACCGACCAGCATCTTGAGGGCGTCGGGAGGAGCGCAGACAGGCTGGGGCCAACGCCCCGCTGTGACAGAACTGTCTTGATGTCCACCACCCCCGATTCCAAGGTCTGCCTTTTCTAGACTGGTCCTGCCTTCCTGTCATTTCTGCAAGCCACTTCATACACTTCTAAGAAACTCCTCTTGCGGTGAGGCCGGCCGGGGCTGGCACTGGCTGGACACACTGGGCTTACCAATGGGCATGTCTCTGCCCACTGACCAAGGGCTGGGCTGGGTCCCCGGCTGCCTCTCTGATGGGAAGGTGGGCTTGGGGGCTCAGGAGTCCAGACCCGGTTCTGGGAGGGTCAGCCTCCCACCAGCAGGGGTCATTCGTTCACGGAGCCCCAGATGTCAGCTCCACCCTGGGTTTATGGAGGTGAACAAAGTGGGATGTTCCTGCCTGCAGTGGAGGAGGCCAGCCACCAATTCACTGTCCAAGTTCACTCCCCGCTGCCTCTGAGGCTACTGACGCAATCACATCTTCAGTTTGCTTTGGGAAAGGTCCCTGCTCTCAGCCACGTGGCCTGGGAGGGACAGCCCCGCCTCTCTCTGGAGTGGGTCTGATTTTCTAATGCTAGCCGATCATCCATCCCTACCTTGCAGGTGTCCGTGTAGGAGCTATGGGCCATGAGGGTGCTTGCAAGGGCGTGGGCGCCACTAAGTGAGAGCCATCCTCTTCCTCCTGATACTAGGGTATGATGTGTGAGGCCCGGAAGCATGGCAGCTATTTTGCCACCATGAAGAAAGCAGCTGGGTTTCCAGGAAACCGCCACGTAGGCTCCAAGCATGTGGCCAGCCCAGTGAAAGCACAGCAGACACAGAAATGTGGCTGCATGCTGACCTCGTTGGAACTCCTAGACCAAGCCTCTCCTCAGGACACCTGTGTTCAGTCCTTCCTTGTTTTAGCCAGTCTGAGTTGGCTTTTCTGTCATGACTGAAGCATCTTGACCGACACTGGGGTTCAAGAGAGGCATGAAGATGGGGACTTGACAAGTGTGAGGATGGAGGAAGTGCAAGGAGCGAGGGGCTGACCAGTGCCAAAGGGTGAGCGGGTGCCAGCCAGGGAACAAACCTGGATACCAGAAGGGTGGGCATGCAGGCCCAGGGAGCTCTGCGGAGGCTCCGGAGCTGGCGAAGGAAGCACTGTACCCTGAGCAGTGGGTGGGGGCAGGAGGTGACAGATGGGCAGGGGACTCACCAGGGGTCACAGCTTGCTGCCACAGTGGGGGCGTCCAGGGGTCTTCCACAGGGAGCACAGAGGCAGGGTGTGGGTCGGGGCTGGCGCTCAGCCTGACACAGCAGCGGTGGGGCCAGAGGGCTGCTGGCAGCTGAGCTGGACAGGATCTGGGGACAGTGAGATGCAGAAGGGTCACAGAGAGGCAGCATGGAGGCCGGCTCTCAGTCTCAGCTGGGGCAGCTGGATGGCAGGGCTGCCGGGCACCGACGGGGAGCAGAGAGCCCAGGGATGGAGAGCACGCGTCCTGCCCAGACGCCCAGCCTCAGCCCATTCAGGCCAGTGGCACCTTGGGCCGGCGGAGTCCAGACTGTGGGGAACTGAGGAGGCCAAGGCTCACACGTCCAGGCTCGAGCCAGCCCAGTCCTGCTGGGACAGCTGGCCACGGCTGGAACTGGAGGCAAGGCCACCCTGAGCAACGACAGTGAGCTCCCCTGGGCCACTGCTGGGGACTCCGGTGCCTTCACCTGCTGGAGCCCAAACCCAGGGGGATCTGAGTGACGACCAAACTCCAGGAAAGAAGACAAGGCCACGACATGGAGCCTCACACACAGGCTCGAGACCACAGGCGGGGCTGCAGCAACTTTGCAGGATGGTTTATTCCAAAGCTGCGGACAGGGGCAGTTAAGAAGAAAGAGGTGACTCGTGTGGAACCTGCTACACAGATGCCTCTCTTCCAAGAAGGGCTGTGATGTTCAGGCCCCCCAGGCGGCCAGCCCCTCAGGAGGGCACCACAGCTAATGCCGCCTGGACCGCAAGGACTTTCTGTTCGATTTCGAGATACCAGGCTCCCTCTCCTTCTCAGGGTCGAAGACTTCTGTAGACAGAAAAGGCAGGAAAGACACAGTGAACAGAGGGGCTGGCGGCACAGGGGCACCAGCTCGAGCCAGCAGCGACGTCTCTTGTACCAAGGACTCTGTCCTAGGCCTATACCATTCCCGCAGCTAACCCTCCCCAGCCCAGGAGGAAGGCTGAGTCAGCCCCAGTCCACAGAGGAACAAAATGAGGGAGCTGTGGACGTGCTTTCACGCCCCATAAGAGGGCCACCAGAGAGAGCCTTGTCTACGCAAGTGCTCCTCCGCATAGGAATTTCTACTGGGTTCTAGAAAGCCCTCTGGAACGGTGTAGGCAGCTCCGCCTTCACTTCTGCAGTGGCTGCTTCTAGGATTCAAGCTGCTAACATGGACCCCCACACACCGTGGAGCCCTTCGGGGGCCGTCTCCAAGGGCTTCTCCAGTGCCAGGCCTGTGTCCTGCTGACCCGGCCCTCCCACGAGCGCCTCCGGCCCAGGCACCTGGGATCTCATGGGGCCAGTAGTCATTGCAGTGGGGGCAGCGCGGTTCAGCATTCAACCGGAAGTACTTGGCCACGCAGGGTAAGTGCATCCTGATCCCACAGGTCTCACAGCTTTGACCCTGAAACAAGAAAGGCCAGCGACTATGGAGCTCGTGCACACCTCCATGTTCCGCAAAGCTCCGGGGAAGCCACAAGGAGAATGGTCAGCAGGCAGCAGGCATCGTGTTATCTTCCGGGCCC